GACGCTGTGTGGCGTGACGGAACCGGTGCGTGTCGAGACATCTGTGAACTCCATCTTTCGCTCCGAGCTGATGTGTTGCGGCGTGCGAGCTGGGGCGTGGCGGAGTGCCACCCACTGCTCACCTAGCACACTTCGCGGGGGGACGCTGCTATTTCATTCGCCCCCAAACCCTCCGTGTCGCCGCGCGGCGTCTCCTGTGCACGGCTGCGGACGATGAGCACCTAAAACCGTACACTTAACAGCAACATCTGAGCACAGACAATGACGCGAGTCGTGTTGCTGACGCTGACTGCCTCCCCTCGGCGACACGTGGGCGGGTGTGTCTTTCTCCCTTTTTCTCCTCCCCTTCCGTCTGTGGTGAGAAGGACCACATTGGAGTTGTGTCCTGGGCCTGCCGCGATGCCCCTGTTGCACACTCACGTGGGCCGAGAAGGCCGTTGCGTGGGCCCCTGGAAAGCCCCAGCCGTGTGTCTCTTGCTTTGAACTCCATTGATTGCCTACTGGAGTTGGTGTTATTTATATATATATATTTTTTATTTGCTCTTTAGATGTTTTTGTTTGTCCGTCAGTTTTTGGTACTTGTGTGCATTTGTTCTTCTTCTTTTTCTCTTTTCTTTTTTTTTGGTGGTGGTGGTGTTGTTGCATTTTAGGTTCCTCTGGAGGTCAATGGACAGGAGTCTGGGCGAGGCTAGTGGCATTGTGGAGGATGTAGATGAATTTTTGCCGGGGAGTTCGTTGGCGAAGGATAGTCGTGTTGTTTGCAGGGGCCGACTACCGCCGAGGCGAATGGTGAAACGTGTTGAAGATGCGCCTGATTTTTGTGTGCCTCATGTCTCCGTGGATGACCAGCCATGGGTAGGTGGTTTTTCGTTCCTTGAGGTTGACTCTTTTGCGAGTCTGCCGCGTTGTCGCAAGAACACGGAGGTGGGCAAGCGGAAGTACCAGTCGCCTTTTTTGGGCTCCGTGCCGCAAGAAGGGAAGGCTAGGCCATTGCGCCTCGCGGGGCCGGCTTCTCCTGTAGCGACACCCGCGGATAGTTCCCTGGTGGATAAGAAGAACGAGACGCGAGAATTGCATCGGCAGCAGCCCGACAAGATGACGCCTGTGCCGTCTGTCACGGATGCCACGTTTTGGAGGCAACAGGCAGCTGCGCATTTGTTGCGAGATGGCGGTGTTGATGATGTGCAGAGTTCTCTTTCGGGGAGTTGCGGGAAGGTGTTTGCTGAGCCATGCCCTGTCACGGGGGAGCACAGTTTGCAGAGGCATCCTCCTTCGCCAGGCTTTTATGATGAGGCAGATGACATCGTTGAGGACGTGGATGACTTTATTTTTGGAAGTCCACTTAAGCGCGACCTCTGCGTGCCGGTGCCGCGGCGGCCGCGTCAGCCACCAAAGGCAACAAAGACGAAGGGCAGGTTCATTGCCTTCTCGAGTATTCTTATTCCGAACCTGTCGCTCCCTGGGAGCACGGTGGACGACACCGTTGATTCCTCCTTGGTGCCGCGGCCACAACAGCACGCCGTGGGGGTGGGTGCCGGGAGGGGCTCCTCGAAACCTCTCTCTGGGCATTCAACGCTGGCTCCAAACGCAGGGGTAGCGGAGGGGGAGTTGGCAAATCTGTCGCTAAAGTCACCGTCTCGCGAGCGTTTGGTCCCCCAGGGACGCTGCCCATCGTTGTCATCTTCGCGCAGGCCTTCCTTCTCTCGCAATAGGCGCAGGCGTCGTGAAAGCGTCGGTGAGGCAAGAAGAAAGCTTGCAGAGCGGAGATCGAGTAAATGTACAACAAAAGTCGGCGGAAGTGAGCGCAATGGTAGCGTTTTTCTCCGAGATGTTGTGACCTGTGGGGTTGCTCGAGCAAATGAATCCCCTAGAGGTGCAAGTCCGTGCGGAGATGCAAAGGTAACCAATTGTGGGACGCAGGGTGAAGACAACTACCCGGTTGTGTTTCCCCCGCGACGCCACAGTAAGATTCAAGAAAATCGCGCAGAAATGGGCCGATAAAGAAGGCATTTTTTATTATTATTCTTGCGGGGTCGCACATTTATGAGGTTGCAAAAGCAGGTTCACTCTGGGTTCTTCTTGCTCCCTCTAGATGCAAAGGAGAAGGCGAGATGCCCAATGTTTGGAGGGGAGTGAGGAGCGCTGGGGGCAACAGAAGTATTGCGGCTGCTGGGGATATTCTTCTTGGTGTAACTACCGCCTCGGAGTTGCAGCGGGTAGACGAGAAGCTGCGATAACCTGTGGGGGCCAAAGTTTGCATCATTCTTTAGCGAAGTTCGCAAGTGGTTGCACGTAAGAAGAGGATGTACGCGGAGTGCGGTGTAACAACTCCT